CTTAGGTTGCCAAAAAAAGTTGATGTAAAGCAACTTAGCTTCAGTAGCTTCAGTGGAGCTGTGAGTATTTACCCTTGTAAGTACCTTGCTCACAGCAAGGTTTTCATTTTGGTATAGCAAGTGGATGCGAATTTTTTTTTATCCATCACATTTAAAAAAATAGTAAAATGCTCAAAGCCAGTACATTATTTCAAGTCTAATGTTTCGATTCCTGTAACCTGCCATTAGCCTTCCTCTTCTGCTTGGCAAGATAAGGAACATTTTCCATTAACCAAAATGCAAGGTAAGGCCGGCATTTACCAATGCTAATTGGTAAATATTGCTATAGAAAGACTGTCAGCGTTTCCTAACTACAATTCAAAAGCATTCAGCCCTTCCTGAGACAAGCCATCTTAATAAGAAAGCAATATGGGCCCGGACAAAGAAGAGAGTGGCTGGTAAAACGAGACCAAGCATGGTGCAGTTGCAGCGATACAAAAGCAAGTGCCGGCTGGCAAAGGCGCAACTGGTCTTTTACCTACGGACACGTCCGTGTGCGCCTGTGTACACACTCACGAGTCTGGAGAGGGTTGTGGTCTACATAAGCTGGGCTCAGTTGGCCTGTAAGGGAGCAAAGCTGGCTAGGCACACTGCTCTGGCAACTGCGACCCACTGCAGAGTAATTGGGGTCAACAACATGGAGCCAAGGTCTTGAAGCACTACTATAACACAGACCTCTCCCAAAAACCTCTGTGAGGCAAGGCATTAATATCCCCTTGCCTTCCCCCTTCCCTTCTTTTAATAGATGGTACACCGACTTCAGAAAAACACCGGACACACCTTACAGGGCCACCAGACGCTGACTTGTTTCCATCCTGGAAAGGCATCCCACCATGGCCCCGTGCCACGGTGCTACCACCAGCCCAGGAGACCTGGCGCACACCCTGCGCTCCTTCCATGCCATGTATTTCTCCCAGAGGAGAAATGCCCAAATGCAGAGCCCCAGCCCCTCTCATTTGCCTCCCTTCACTGTTAAAGCACTTTTACTCTGCCCAATCTCTTTTACACAGTTTCCACCAGTGACTGCTAAATTTGGATCTGGATTTCAATCCCTTACTAAGCCGGACACTGATACAGAAGCAACAGAACTCAAGGGGATTCTGGAGGTGTCTTCTTTTTGCTTTTAATGGTTGGTGTTTTAAGGACTTTTCAGAGCATCCTGCTGGGGCTGGAGGAAGCAAAGGTCTGCTCTGCTACACTTCATCTCCAGCCACGCTTCTTCTGGCTTCATCAATGAAAGCCTCTCATCGCGCCAGCCAGACCTGGATCAGTTCAAGCCCCCTTTGAAAACTACACTCCCACCCCTCACACTCATAACCCTGGTCCTTGCAACCCTCACAGTCCTACTTCTGATCCCTGCCCATGCCAGCTGTACCTGCCCACCGCTGGGCACTCCTTAAGGGCTCAACAGCTAAGAGAGTGGTCGACAGCTCTTCCAAAAACACCACGATAGAGAAACTGAGAACAAAACCGAGGGGTTCTGTCCTACCGATAAACACAGTGAAACCACAAAATTGGCGTATTGTGAGGAAACCTCACAGTTCCCTTTTTTTTATCATTTTTCAGCTGACGCCAGCAGCCCCTCCCCATACTCCTCTTTCATCTGTGCCTTTATAATTACCAGCCTACAAAACTCCTCCCTGTCTCAGGCTGCTGAATAAAAGAAGTAAACTTTGATTTCTGTATTTAAGCTCCCCAATCTTCCCAGGATGTGATGGATCATTACTCCGGCTCAGAGATTGCCTGGTCTTAAATCACTGCCCACGACTCCCACTGCAGCCAGCCTGAGTCCTCTCCAAGGTCAGGTCCGGTTTCCAGACCTTCGAGGTCTTCCTGCCAGGCAGATACAGACTTGCTGCTTTGAATCCCCACATTTTAAAGGGCATTTAGGTTCATCCTAAAAATACTGCAGCATAACTTAACCACCTGTAAACATTAAATGCTGCCTGCTAATTGACAGGTGCAGTATTCACTGAGGGTTACATACCAGCATGCATACAGCCTGGTAGATTTGTTTATACATAGTGATAGCAATGCCAAGTGCACAGGAGAGACAGACCAAGATCTGGGAGACGAAAGCAAACCTGAAGAAGGGGACCGACACTGCACACAAACCAGTAACACAGGAATCTCCTGGCAGGTTCACTTGACAAACAGTATGTGTCTCGCCTCTCATTTCACGACTCAGCATTGCTGTTATTAGCAGCATGCAGCGAGAAAACAGGACAACAACCCCACGCTCATGGGAGAGGAGGTACCCTGAAAGCAAATGACGCCAAAGACATATAGATGCCTCAAAAGCACTCCCAGCACAACATCCGCAAGGCATCGGCCGTGAGCTGGCTGCTGAGTTCAATACAGCAGTGGCTGAAGACATGCAGATTCGACCCAACCTCTTCTCCCCTGTTTTCGCTACAGTGACTTCAAACTAACTTTCTGCAGGGAGAAAAAGATGTTCCTGGACTCCATAATCCAATTTCAGTAATTCTTCAATCTGCGTCCTGTGGGCAGGGGAGGGGGAAGGATTGGTGGGGAGGACCTGGGCAGTGGGGAAGGACCAGCGAGGTCCTCTCACAGCCACACCGGTCACCAAGCTGCTTCTTGAAGCCTTTCCTGCCACCCACAGCCAACCTCCAGCCCGCAGGCTGGCTCGTGTCCTCTCAAAGCGAATATAGTGCTCCCCAAAGGCGCAGGACTGACAGCCCTGGATATTCAATTAGTCAACGTGTGGAGGAGAAGGCGAGCACAGGGTGGGCAGCAGGGATGGAGCTGCTTTGCCCACAGGGAGGGTGCCCTGCCAATGCACCCTGTCCCCGCTCAGGAGGAGATAACTCATCCTGCGGCTATGAGAGGTTGGGCTTGCGCTTTGAAGCCTGGAAGGAAGCTGCAACTTCTGACATGACGTCCTGGATGCCATTTTCAAAAGGCTCCTGACACAACTGGATCTCACATGCCTGAGTGCCAGGCCACACTTCGAAAACGGAGCTGGAAGTGAGATCTGAGGCTCCCAAGTGTCTTTATTCCTTGCCTTTATTTATTTAATTTTTTTTTTAAACAGGGCTCAATTTTGAAAATTTTATTCACTGTTACTATTCAATACTTACTAAGAAACTGAATTAAGCCATTCATTAATCTGACAGCAGCTACCCCATGGATGCTAAAGTGATGGGCTTCTATAAGGCCCCCTCATCTTTAAAAAGCAAAGGATGAGCAAGGCATGCTATTCAGGCCCCAGCTATTCACATTTCTCCTCAGGAAAATGTAATTAATACTGACACATACAGAGGTCATATCTCTAAGCAAAATATTAAGGGGAGGGAGAAATTAAAAGAAAGAGAGAGAGAAGCAATTTTACTAAACAACTGTGCCTCCCAACAGGCTCCATGACAGATACACCACAACTGAACAGATTATAGCTCTTGAATTTCCAGTGACTCAACTACGCTTTTACATTTTACAAAGCCACCTTATATGTGTTTTGCATTAAAAATGTATTTATTGCTTACATTGATACATACATGTTCTGAATTTAACAATTTACTTCTCAACCAAAATAACTCAAAACATCAAGGTAACACTAGCATGAGATGGCTCTGGAACAAGAGTTTCTTTTTATATATATATGTTGGGTTTTTTTTTTAGTTTTGTTTTTTTTTTGGCTTCCCATTTCCTCAAAACAAACTCTGATCATTTTCATTTATAACATGTGTTTAATTAGACATCTTCAGAACAGATTCAAGAAGTTTTTATATGAAACAGGACTTTCAAAAGACTGAAGGATTTATTTATTCATTTTTAAACTTCTAATGTTTTCTTTCAGAAAGACTGAAATTATGAGGCTTGCAAGAACAGCACACAAACATCCTCCCCTTCCAGTTGCACCATGAAATCCAACATGTCTCACTGATGGGAAGAGAAGGTTTTCTCAATTACGATTCTTTAACACAAGCATTTTTTAAAATTGGTTTTAGTCCCTCCGAAGTACTTTAAGTTATAGTCGTTTAAGTTCACAACCACCATCACCACCACCCTGCGGTAGTATTGGGGAGCACTAATTCAGAGGATACGTTTAAACCCACGCTTTCCTCAACAGAATTTAGCGATGAGATGTCCACTCACACTGCTCTGTTACCAGCTTTGAAGTCTTAAAACCAAAACCAGCTGCTGCAGCAAGCCCCAAGCCCAACAAAGCGGCGTTCATCTGTTTATACGATCAGTGTCTCTGGAAAGATTGGCAGACAGCTCTTCTGGTGATAGATGCATACTGAAACCTGATCAAGGCTCGGGTTATTTTTCTCCATCCAGCAACGCTGCAATTCTAGCCAGGCAACAAACCCCAAGATCTCCATTAGGATTAAGAGAGAAGCAATGAAAGCCCCAATCCCACTGTCGTTCCAAACATTAACAAATCGTCCACCTCATCAACTTGGAGCAAAATTCACAATAACTTCCATGTGGTCCCCAAACACCGGCCAAACAAGTTTCGTAACACAAATAAATGCACCGTGGTCTGGTACATCAAAAAGGGAAGCTTCAATTCCAATGTTAACATGAGCTTTAAGGTGCCATCAAGCTCAGACAGAGCTAAACATGAAGCCCCAAAGGACAAATCGACCAACTTCCAGTGACACCTCCTGCCTTGGTTTCATAAGGTCATCAGTTGTCTCAACAAAAGAAATCCTGAGGCCAACCCTGACAGATCAGAGATATAAGGACCTTCCCCTTCATCACAGATGGAGCGTTACAGAGGTTTCTCACAATTATTATTTAACTCTCTAATCCTCCTGCCCCCCCTGTTTTGGACCCCATCCCACAGCTCGGTGCCCCGACAGCTTGGGTTGTCACCCAAAGGCTCAGCCTGAGGACGGAGCACTGAAACCAGGGAAACCACCTGAGAAATTCCCTTAATTTGCTTGCACACCTGCTGCTTCCTTCTCTAGAAAAACACAATGCAAACGTACCTGGGCAGACTGGTCACCAATGTCTGGCATGCCACAATCTGACAGCCGGCACCGGTACTGTCCCCCGGTGCCCCGAAACTGCTCCTCCCCGTTGCTTTCTGCTTCGGAGGTCTCCGGCTGAGCAACCTCCACCTCCATCGGGGTGCAGTGCCCGTTCCCGTGTTCTGAGCCTGGCTTTTCTTTGCCATCCTTGCTGCCTGGTGTTCTGGTGATGACCCCAAACTTCCTGGTCCTTTTCCCATTTTGAGCAGCTCTGTCACTGGGTTCGGGGCTGGGCTTGGCTTTGGGGTCGCAGCTGTTGCTGTTGTTGCCGTTGGAGGGAGGAAGAGGGGCCTTGCGCTTGATACGGCGCAACATGATCAGGTAGACGAAGCCGCCATTCCAGCACTGCTCGGCCAGGTAACTGCAAGAGAAGGGATGCACAGGGATTACCGACTGCTCGCTCCACGGTGCCCGCGTCTCGCCCCAGCACCCCACCACGCTGCGCCCCGTGGTGTTCATGTCAGGCAGCTGATTACCTGGTGTGTGGATATGTTAGGACACCTCGTGGCATCAGCAAATGCTCTCTTCCTTCAGTATTAGAGGGAAATAATACCAGGAATAATATCAGGAATAATAACAGCCCTACCAGCCATCCAGGCTGATCCCACCACAGCGTAATACAACTGGTAAATGCCACCGAACAGGTTCCCACCACCCTGACCTCTGGACCCACAGCACAGCAACATGGAAAGGTGGAGCAAGCAAAGCAAAGCAGAGACTGTTTCCAGTGGGCCATTAAAATAAATAAATATTTTTTTTAAAAAATTAAAAATCAGGCAGGCTTCATTTGTGCAGCAGCCCATAGAGCATTTGCATCTGAAATGAGCCTCCTTAGTGAAACTAATCTTCTGCTTCGGCATATGTACATGCTTTGAAGGCCCAAGGGAAAAAAAAATCAGCCACGGGGGTAAGCAGGCATAGCGCCAACGGCCTCTGTACAGCAAAGTGTGGCACTATAAGGCATCTTGGCTCCTGTAAAGGGACATGGAAATAAGGTGGGTTTCCTTTACAGCAAGCGTATTCCAGTCAAAGCAAGAGCCAAGTCATCTCAGCTGTGCAAGAAGCAGCCACCAAGTTCTTGTACCAGAGCAAAGCATCACCTCCCCTCCCAAAGTCTCTGGACATGCCTTGAAGGAACTGACATTTCTGCTTCAAGCAAATACTCAGCGTCCTTACAGAAACTGCACCCGTTGATGCAAAAGGGGAATCTAACTTCATGCCTCTTTTGGGAAAGGATACACCTCAACCCAAATTCTTAAAATATTTGGGTTCTGAGCCAAGGGTGTAACCAACTGAGAGTACAAACAAGCTGGAATTTGTACTTAGCAGGTTTGTATGTGCCCTTTCACACTAATTTAGGCCCCAAAAATATATTGCCTTTCTCACTAGTAAAAGTGGCAAGAATTTCCCAGAGCATCAAATAAGCCTCTGCTGCAGCTGCAATGAACTATTGACTAATACAAAGCAGTTGGTGAACCTACAGCTATCAGAGGAGATGAGAAACTAGGTGTGGAGTTGAACCATAGAAGATCCTAAGAGAAAATAACACAGCACTTGTGGTTGAGAGGAGGAGCGACTCAAGAGTCTTCCCCCCTTTTTTTCTCTCCCTGGTGCTTGTAGGCTAATTTTCCCCTTCCCTTTCTTAAAAGTTGTTTGGCCTTAAATAATACAACCCTTCAAAGTTATTCCTGTACAGAGGTGACTTAATGGCAAAACAGGAAAAGCAGCTATGATAAGCCCTGAAGCAAACTTCTGTACAGAGGAGTGAGGAAAGCACTCTCAATTACTCCAAGTAATCTGGACCAGCCTGTGCAGTGGCTGGAAATAACACCATGGGTGCGTGTTTCTGTCCAGGGATGTGAGCTGGTAGTTTCAGTCCACTTCTTCCCAAAGCTTAGATGTCCCCCCCAGACAAAGCTGGCATTCAAATCACTTATATTTAATTAGGAAGACTGATGCCCAAATGAACACGATAACTACATAACCTTAAAAGCAGCCCTGGAGCAACAGAGGGGAAGGACAAGTATGTTGGCTGTGCCAAATTTCCCATTGAATATAAACTGGACTCCAACTCCCTGGACAGTCCACTCAGCAGTCCTCACCAAGCAAGTTTTTCTTTTTCCTTTAAAAAAAAAAAAAATTTAAATAAAGCCCTAAAAGCCTCTTTTCCAAAATGGCTGAAAGCAGACAGCCAACGAGCCCCACTGGCTGGAAAGTCTCTGCAGCCAAGGTCAGCCGTCTGGGTGGCCATGAGGTGACACTCGGCTCAGGGCTGGCAGGACCTGAAGCGTTAGCCTAAAAAAATTCCAGAACTAAGATGGAAGTATTTCTGATTATCAAGTTAAAAGAGAAATTCTTTTAATCAACAGAAAAGGGGCAGTTTTGTTCCAGAAACAATATGGGCTGCCTGTTTTTCACATTTATCTTTCAACTCAAATTTCAAGGCAGCCAGTAAAGTTGATTAAAATTCATGACTTTTGCTTGCAGCAATACCACTGCACTCTGATCCATCATACATAAGCCTGATAGCATTGCTTCTCCTGGCACATGGAAACAGAAAGGCAGCTCCTCTTCCCATAGTCCTGTGGCGTACATGGGTGCTGCCCACTCTGTTTTTACGCAGAGTCAGTTCTGCCTGACTTGTTTTTGTGCAGGTGCACGTATGCGTGGTTTTTTTTAAAATACCGATCCCTATCTCTGAACTAATCACTGATGTATTTTTGAGTGCCAGTAACCAAGTGCATGCATTAATCAACTACTTGATTTAGGAACTAAGGGGAACGAGAGGGAACTTAGCATATGTCGAAATACAGTAATTTTATAGAAGCAAAAATAATTTGCTATTTCACCTCCACTTGTAGCACATTTATGCTGTTCATAAAGTGTAAAGCTCTGAACAGGGAAGAAAGAAGGGTGGGTTTTTTTCTATCCACTGTCCACAGACAACCATCCCTACAGTCTGGAGCAGGGTTACAGTGAGTGGTAATAGATGCAGCTGCACTGAAGTCAGCAGAGCTGTGCTAATTTGCTCCATATGTTGAGATGGCCTGCATGTTCCAGGCGTGCAGCCTGTACTAACTCATGGGTTTATGTCTTCTTGAATACTTCTCGGCAGTTCAAAGCACACAATACATTTCCATGAAAAAAAAAAGAAATGTCTTCTCTGGGTCAGTAAGCAATTACCTTTGCATGGCAGCAAGTGATCGCATACACCTGATGATGTCAGGTATTTCTGGACAGGGTAAATCCAGCTGGTGCCAGTGATGCACCTACGTGGCATCGTTATCTCACAGTTTGTTTCGAACCAAAGACCAGGCATCCCGTGCTGGAAAACCAGCAGTGGTATAACACCAAACTCATACGACAAGATAGGAAACTATAATATACCAAGAACATGTGGTTATTTGCTGTATTGCCCTCCCAAGACAGGGCTGTTAACCAAGGAGCCTGAGCCACCTTTAAGTTCTGTTAAGTACATGCTGCCTACTTAGCTGGCTTCCTTTTCCTTTGCCATTTCTTCCCCTGTTTAAGTAAGAAGCCAAAAAAGCCCACGGAAGCACAGCAAGCTCTCAACACTGGACAAAAGACAGGAAAGGTTATATTAAATGAGTGAGAATCTTCAGATTTTTAATTATTTTCTATCAATCCAGGAGCATCCCATGCCAGAAAGGAATAACGGGGTAGATTCTATAAAATGTAATTATACAGCCTCTAGACTGCAGAAAACTGCGAAAGCTAGACAGGACCCAAAATCCTACTTCTCAGGGGGTTTAATGTGCGCAATGCAGACATGCCTTTTTTTAGATTTGGTCCCTGCAGAGCACTCACAGAGATTTTAGCAACCGTGTCTCAGGCAGGGCAGGATCAGAGCTGATGAGTGTACGCAGCTCTTGGCACAGATGTGGGGAATCAGCTGCAACCTCCAAGTTGTCGCTTAGTTTGAACATGGTCTTCAGCTTGGATGGAGAAAGTGCAGGGAGCAAAAATATTCCTAATGCAGCTTTGATTGATCCAAATTTATTGAAAACCGAGAGTCTAAAACTTCCTATTCCCTGTTTTCGTTGGCAGGGGATAGAATAGGATTTGGTGAAAGCCCTGGATCTCATACACCAGCTAAGAAACCTTGGGCAGCTACTCCTAGTGGCACCAAATGACAACAATGTAACAAATTATTGCTGATTTTAAGAATGCAAGAGATTTTACCAGCTGATCATACATCTATTAATATTAAGCCCCCTTTAAGTACTGATAGGCTGCAATAAGGTCTCCCCAAAGCCAAGCCTTCCCTTCCCTTCCCTTCTCTTCTCTTGGCTGAACAACCCCAACTCTCTCAGCATTTCTTCGTAGGAGAGGTGTTCCATTCCCCTGATCATTTTCGTGGCCCTCTTCTGGACCTGCTCCAACAGGTCTGCGCCTTTCTTATGCTGAGGGCTCCAGAGCTGGACACGGTACTCCAGGTGGGGTCTCACCATAAAAAAGATGGCGGCAAACTTTTTAGCAGGGCCTGTTGCGACAGGACAAGGGGGAATGGCTTTAAACTAAAGGGGGGTAGATTTAGACTAGATATAAGGAAGAAATTTTTTACGCTGAGAGTGGTGAAACGCTGGCACAGGTTGCCCAGAGAGGTGGTGGATGCCCCGTCCCTGGAAACATTCCAGGTCAGGTTGGACGGGGCTCTGAGCAACCTGATCTAGTTGAAGATGCCCCTGGCCACGGCAGGAGGCTTGGACTAGATGACCTTTAGAGGTCCCCTCCAACCCAAACTATTCTATGATTCTATGAGCATTAGTTACCAAAACAAAACATTTTACCAGCAAAACACCCATCCACACTTTCTACATTTGCCAGTCTTTGCAAGGTGGTGTCAAGTCCCCTCGGCACAGCTGGGAGTCCCCTCAGACACTGCACCATCATCTCCCCACGCAGGGTCTAAAACATCACTGAAACATTGGCTTGAAAACATTTCCTACTGGCGTGCTCAGAAGGAAGGACCACCCGGCTGCTCCTGCTGCTTTGATCTCACCCTGGCACCAGCTCTGGTAAAACCCCAGCCCATATAGAACGCTACCCTTAAGCAGTGGGGCAGACTTGTTCTCCTCTGTAGGAGAGAAACCATGAAAATGTTAATAATCCTAAAAAACAGGGGAAAAATATTTTACACTTGAAACAGTGCCAGAAAGTTAGCTCTTGCAAAGCTCAACCACAGGTTGGAAAATGCAACTGGTGGCTGATACCAGGGAGCATTTAATATTCTTTTTGTATCAAAACTATGAAGAGATGGACACGTCCACTTCTTTCAGAGACTATTTTGAGTTACGCAGCCAAGTCCCATTTCTCCCCTACACAGCTGAACTGATTGCT